TCACTCAACATTTATTGTGCACCAGGAGCTGGGCTGCATGTTATATGTTTTTATAGTACATATAACATGGGAATTGTCCCTGCCCTGATGGAGCTTACAATTTAGTGAGAGTCACAGTAACAAAGATGGAAATACATACAAAAATATGTAACTATCACTAGTGCCAAGTGCTATTAAAAAAAAAAAAAAAAAAAAAAAGCTGGGTACAATGGTGCATTCCTGTAATCCCAGCAACTTTCAAGGCAGAGGATCACAAGTTTGAAGCCAGCCTCAGCAACCTGGGGAGACTGTCTCAAAGTTTAACAGGGTGGGGGATGGTGGCTGAGAATGTAGCTCAGTGGTAAAATGCCCCTGGGTTCAATCCTTGTTACCTACCCCTCAAAAAAAAAAAAAAGGCAGTAGCAAACAGAGGAGACAACAAGGAGACTTCTACTTATAGGAATAAGAGAATGGCCTCCTGGTGAAGTAACATCTAGGAATAAAGAGCAAGAGCCAGCTATGCAAAAATAGGAGGTACAAAATGTTGCAGGCAAAAGAACAGCAAGTGAACAAGCCCTGAGGGAGAAAAAAAACTTGGCCTTTTCTTGGTGTTCTGGAGTATGGTGAGTGAGGAGGAAAATGGCAGAAATTTGGAAAAGTGTTTTAATTTTAAATGCATTGGGAAGCTGTTTGAAGTAAGGGAGTAAAATTGTTTTAAAAATAAGGTCTGGAGATGTGGCTCAGTGGTAGAGTGCTTGCCTAGCCTGCATGAGACCGTGGGTTCGATCCCAACCACTGCAAAAACAAACAAAAAAACCTGCATATCTGTTTATCACTCAGGGACTTAGAGACCAGTTAGAACACTCCAGGAATTAGTCTAGGGAAAAGATGGTACAACCAAAATTTTTGCCTTCATTTCTAATCCACATAAAAATAAATTTAAATGAAAAAAGTGTTATATGTGCCTCTCCCTTTAAATCTAAGGGAAATACTTCTTGTTGAGATGATCCTTGAGACAAATGAATGATAGCTCTTCCTTGTCTTAAAGCCCCGTCAAATTTTCTCCTGGGGATTTCTGGGCAAGAGGTGCTTCAGCCAGCACAGCAAATCCTCAGACGCCTGTGGAATACCCAATGGAAACAAGTGGAATAGAGCAGATGGATGTGACAATGAGTGGGGAAGCATCAGCACCACTTCCAATACGACAGCCGAACTCCGGGCCATACAAAAAACAAGCTTTTCCCATGATCTCCAAACGGCCAGAGCACCTGCGAATGAATCTATGACAAAGCAATGCTTTAATTAATTTGAGGCAAAAACAAAAAAAGCAGGGGAAAAGGGATGTGTGAGCATCCTGCAAGATGAAACAAGAAGAATTAAAAATGACAGTCTCAAAGAGTCAGTGTCATTTCCTGGAATGCTTTGGACAAAGGAAAAACAAACATGGATTTTTAAAAATCAATCAATGGTGCAAACAAAAAAACTTGAGCAAAATAGTATTTCAGAACTCTTAGGCACATCAATTAATTGGTTCCTAGCAACATCTCAACCTTATCAAGGATTTTCACGTTGATGGCTGGAAACTGACAGTATTAAGAATAGGATGTTGCTTCTGAATCACTGTCAAATTCTGATTGTGTCGGAGAAGGGTTTTCCTTTCATTAGGCAAAGTATGAAATTGCCTATAATACTTGCAACTAAGGACAAATTAGCATGCAAGCTTGGTCAAACTTTTTCCAGCAACATGGAATCAAAGACAAACTTATCAATTGATGTTTTACGTGCAAACAACCTGAATCTTTTTTTTATATAAATATATATTTTTCAAATAGATTTTTGATTCAGCTCATTATGGAAAACATCCCAAACTTTAAAATGCGAAATTATTGGTGGTGTGAAGAAAGCCAGACAGCTTGTTTCTTCTCTTGATGAAATAAAAAAATGCAAATGAATCATTGTTAACCACAGCTGTGGCTCCTTTGAGGGCTTGGGGTGGACCTGGGGTTTATTTTTAGTAACCCAGCTGCAATACCTGTCTGTAATACTAGGAAAACAACAGCAACAATCTATTTAATCATTTCTACTTGCAGTGATGCTATGTGCTAAGCTTAACTGGAAGCCTTGGAATGGGCATAAATTGTATGTCCTACATTTCATCCTTGTACTGGGCCTGCATTGCACTGGAAAAAAGTCACCACCTGTTCTTATACCAGTATTTGGTTCAAGACACCAAATGTGTTCAGCCCATGGCTGAGGAAGGATGGAAGAGAGTCAGGATAAAATGCATACTGAGGGCAGCAAAATGGGGAAGATAGGAATATCCAGGGGAAGAGGGTGTTGCCATGGTCCACTCTCTGTCTAATCTCTTTATGGCAAATTGGTAAAATTTTAAGTTTTACTGTTTTTGCTGTCTACCTTCTTTAACATTTTTTTCCTTAACAGTTTTAAAAAAGGAAAAAAGGTCTAATTTTTTTCTCCTATACTGGGGCTACCTTTTTTGATTGTAAAAATACTTGATGGCCTTTTGATGAATGTCTTCCACAGTGAATAAGAAAACTTAGTGGCTTAATTTAGGGAACATGTTAACAGGACACTGTTTTTGAATTGTAACAAAATCTACATAAGTGATTTACAGGTACAAAGAATAAATAAAGGTGACTTTACCTTTCTTAAATACTTCCTGCCTTAAAGAGAGCATTTCCATGACTTTAGCTGGTCAAAGGGTTTAATATCTGCAGAGCTTTATAAAAATATATTTCAGCGCATACTGGTATAAGTAGATGATCATGCAGTTGAGTCTTACCACTTCTTTTTTGTTTGTCTTTTATAATGTATTCAGTCTGAGTGTCAAAGTCAATTTGTAATAGTTTGCAACCCTAGAATTTTTTTAAATAGATGCTGCTTGCTATGTTCTCCAAACCTTTTTGAGCCATAGGATCCAAGCCATAAAATTCTTTATGCGTGTTGAATTCAGTCAGAAAAGAGAAAAACTTTGCTTATTTAAATTGCAACTCAAGTGAGATGTGATGACAGTAAGCAAAAGAGAACCATGAAAAATGATTGGAAATATACCTTTCAATTGTGGCAATAAGGAAAGAACTGATAAAAGTTCATCTTTGGACAGAAAACCATTAAAACAAACAAACAAAAAAATCCCTGTACCCCACCCTCTTACTGCAGCAGCCTACTAAGAATTTTATAATTGTAACTGGTAAATTAGAAGCTACATGATGATTAAGGGCAGAAATTGTACTTAAAAAGTGCAGATCTTTGTTCTCTGACAATTGTGATGTCTGGAAAAAACAAATCCAAAAAGCTATGGTGACATGTATAGGTATTATTTCAGACTGTAAATGGCTTGTGCTACCCTGATAACTTGTTTTCAAATGTGTTTACTAACTGTAGTGTTGACTGCCTGACCAAATTCCAGTGAAACTTTTACACCAAAATATTCCTCCTCAGTCCTATCTGCTAGTAACATGTGCACTGTGATTGGCTGGCTATAACACCCTATAGTTAATCTGTTTTCATAATTAGTAGTGCCAGCAATAGGGGCGAACACTGCAACTTTTTTGCATAAAAAGCATTAATTGCACACTTACCATCCACACAGATATTTAGTTTTTCTAACTTAACATTTATTAAGTGAAATTAATTTCCCATGCTGTGTCAAGTTTATTGAGAAATTGTGTTTCATAAAGTGGATACCCCTACTATGACTGTGAAAACATGTCAAGTGTCACATTAGTGCCACAGACAGAAAGCACACACCTATGCAATATGGCGTACCCTATATTTATTTGTAAAAATTTAAGCATAGTTTAAAATATATGATGTCAATATTACTAGTCTTGAGTTTCTAAGATGGTTCTTTATGGTTATTCCAGGTAAGTGTATAAAAATGATTAAGTGCTTTTCTTTCATCACTTGATTATTTTCTTTACAATCAGCTATTATGGGATTTTTTTTATTTTATACATGCAGTTTTTTAATTAAAATGTAATCACTGAACTGAAGTTTACTAATTTGATTTTATAAGGTTTGTAGCATTACAGAATAACTAAACTGGGATTTGTAAACCAGCTGTGATTAACAATGTAAAGTATTAATTATTGAACTTGAACCAGATTTTTAGGAAAATTATGTTATTTATTTCTTTTTCCCCTTTATGGTCTTAAATAATTTGAATCTTTCAAGGATTTTTCCATACTGTTTTCAAGATAGAAGATAATTTGACGGGTGGGGGAGAAGGATGCATGTTTGAGACTCCATAAATTCAACATTCTTTCCAATAGGTAATAAATGATTATAAACAAGATGCATCTTAGATAGTATTAATATCCTAAGCCTTGGATTTCATATTTAATGTAGGACCTTACTTTTCTGAATATTCAGCTAGTCATATGGTTCCTAGTTTACAAGGGCTTGATCTAAGATTATCCCCATGAAAAATGTTGAATTTATGAAGAATGGACTTTGAAACTTTGAAAATGGTTAACTTCTCAAATAAAAATATCAATATCCAAACATCTGCCTTTTTTCATAGGAGTAGACACTAGCAAGCTGGACAAAACTATCATAAAAGTATTTGTCACACATGACCTGTGGTCTGTTGCTGATTAATACAGTACTTTTCTTGTGTGATTCTTAACACTACAGCACAAGTATTATCTCAGTTGATATCTGAAGTAACATCTAAAAGATGGGTTCATCTCTGTGTTTGCTCTTTAAACTATTATGTTTCTATTATCCCAAGTTGGCTTTGCATCTATTAAATAATAAACTCTTCAGCTGCCTTATTAGGAGTGCTATGAGGGTAACACCTTTTCTGCTTTTCATCTTGTATTTAGTTTACTGTATTAAGATATTTGGTTTCAGATTGAATGAATGTAAATAGAAATTAAATGCAAATTTGAATGAACATAAAATAGAAGTGACTTTTTTTATTACCTAAACAGAGGAAGAAACAACTGTGTACATATCAGTTATATAGTTTTTTTCTCATTAACAAGTCAGATGTATTCATGTGCTCATATTTAATAAACTATTAATGTACGTAAGGAATAGCAGTTGTAAAACTGTTTCTGCTGAGAATAGAAGCTATTTAAATATATAACAAGCTTTAGTATTGATTTTATATATTGGATGTTACACATCTTTTATTTTCAAATTGTATCAAGTAGAAGAACTAGAATTGTTTGCTTTTTAAAAAAATTCATGCAACAAGTTATGAGTTTTTTCCCCTCAAACAAAATATCTTCTTTGTTTAGCCATATTTATCTTTTGGAGACCGAATCTGTGTTGCCCCCAGCTGGTCTCCAGCTTACAGTCCTCCTGCCTTAGCTACCTCAGTAGCTGGGATTACTGGCATGTGCCACTGCACCCAGCTTCTTGGCAACATTTGCAGTGCTGGAATCAAGCCCAGGGCCTGTTGCATGCTAGGCAAGCACTCCATTACTGAGCCACATCCTCAGTCCAACCGGGCTACATTTGATAGTTTGATGTGCACAAATCTGTTTTTCTTCGCTAGAGATTGAACCCAGGGCCTTAGATATGCTAGGCAAGCACTCTCCCATTGAACTACATCTCCAGCCCCACAAACTGTTTTAATTGTCTCACATCTACTCTAAAATGGCCATTTTGTACAAACCACATCTCTTCTATGAACATTTATATCACACTTGCCTAGGTAATACCTCTACAGAAAGTTTTCACTCATGTTGATTTTTTATAAAAGATGGTAGCATCTCTTAATGCTGGTACTCTTTAACTTTTGGAGATTGTGATCTGAATTCACAGAATAATTGGGTTTTTGGAGCTGTGTTCCCTTTGAGGTAAAGGACTAAAAAGTAGTAGCAAAATGCTTCTAGTTCATCATCTGTCTTAATAGATGGCATAGCTCTCTTATTACATCTTCCCAGTTTTCAGTTCATTGTAGTAGAACCCCACCACTGTCCAAACTTCTGTTGTTATTTAGTCAATACAAACTGTTTGAATAACCACGAGGCGAGTAGGTATGGTTAAATGGTATTGTAAATAGGGCTGAATGCTATTCTTGTGTTCTGAACTAGAAGTCGTTTCAGCTGTTTTTCACAGCCAAATTTTAATCCTAAATTCCTTTTCTCACCCATTCCCTGCCATATACCTAAACAATACAACTGAGCTTTGCCACAAAGCCAGGAAGGTGATTTAAGGCCAAATAAACTTGCTCAAATATTTGTGGTAATTCTCAAAGTAAAAAAGAGAATTAAATATATTGTGACTAAACAGACAGAAAATAGTTACTCTTATAACCTGGCAGTGTTTACCTAGGGTAAAAGGTTACCTTTGTCAGTTTGAGTAGTTCTCCAGGCATTATCACTTGGCTACTATCTTTATTAATGCATGTTCTGGTCTAGGCTTTGTCTTACCAATACTACAATATGTTTTCAGCTTTCTCCTAACTTTTGCTTCCCACCATCCTTTCTTTGTGTACAAATGGATAGTAATAAAGAAATAGGCAGAAGCCTTGTACTCTAATTGTAGATGTAACCAGTAGCAGCCCTTTATTGTTCTGTTAATGTTTAGGTATCAAGTGGAGAGACAAAGTGCCTTATTTTCTTTTCCATGACCCTGAACAAATTACCTAGAGGCAGGCAAACCACACTATCCAAAGCTATGACCACCCCTGAGTACAAGCTTTTTTTCCCCTGCTTGATGCTGGGGATTGAATCCAAAACCTCTCACATGCCAGGCAAGTGCTGTACTACTGAGTTTCACCTCGAGCAGTGCATGAATTATTTTAATAGTTACTTTGAGATACTTAATAGCACTATACAAAAAGCAAGATTGTGAACATTAAAGCTGATGGTAGGAAGCATGTATGAGGTCCACAAATAATGAATTTAAATAATTTATTCTTGCTGATTACTTATACTATAGAGAATAATACAATATTAAAATATATCATCCTCAGTAAATTAATCTTCATCTAGAAAATGTAATTTTTACAGGTAAAATATAGCATTTAGAAATTTAATTGAAAAATACAAATTTCGTGAAAAATTTTAAGCAGTTTTAGAATGGGAATTATAAAAGTCAATGCTGAAGAAAATTGTTTCAAATAATATGTATCTTAAAATACTGTGAAAAATATACTGTAATGTCAGGAAAGAATACCTGAATTATTATTATTACTATTTTCTTCTTTTTCTTTCTGGGGTAGGGAACGAATCCAGGGCCTTACATGTGCTAGACCAGCACTCTACCACTGGGGCAATATCCCCAACCCACCTGCATTCCTTTGAAACTACTAGTTACGGTTTATAATTTCTGTTTTGGTAACATCAACAAGAGAACACATTTACAATTTAACACTGCAATTATCTGTCAGATAATTAGGATAGAACAAATGTTGTGTATTCTTTAGGTTGAATATTATATACTTTTTAAAACACAGGGGTTTTTCATTTGATCTTGATAAACCAGACTACACATGTAAATTATATTCTAAAACCACTTGGAAACAGTTTTCTTCCAGCCCTGAAAATCTGTTCAAATGCCTTTATCAATAGTCACTTATTACCAAATGAAATTAGTGTTTGTGGCCTTAACAGTTGTACAACTTAATATATTTGAAGGTGTGATGAAGTGGCTCCATCATTCCATTTGTTTATACGATCTGAAATCACAGTTCTGCATAATGGACATGTTTTCTCTCTGTTGAACCATAAGGTAATGCATTCTTCACAAAATATATGCTGTAAAGGGAATTAAGAACTAGATTTTATATTAGCAAACACTTTACATTCATCATATTGTAGATAATCCTATTCTTTAGAGCTGAAAGGGATTTTGGAAACACTAATTCCCACATTTTACAAATGAGAAAATGGAGAAAGTAGTATGTATTAAAAAAGACAGAGTAGTTTTAATGGTAGAGCCACTAGTATTCTTCTGACTTTACTATCCATTTAGCCTTTTTTTAACAAAATGTGGCTATCCCTAGGTGATATCCCTAGGTGATTTTTCATTATGGTGACTTAAGAGCTTAATAAATCTCTGAGTTAGTAGTAACTTCTGTAAAGTCTAAGAAAAAGCCATATATTCTTCCATAACATTGTTGGTACTATTTTGAATACTAGTATCTAATTATAAAAAATAGACTGTTTTCTAATCATTTTGGCATCCAATCTGCCAGTTGAATTATCTTTCCCCTTTTATATATTCCTGCATAAAAATCATCAGAACATAAAGGATAAGATTTAGCCAGTCTACTAAACTCCTAATCATAAATAAATTACGAGTGTGTACTCTGCTACTTTCCACTAAACAGTGTAGATTATTTTTTGCCATTCAACAAACATAAATATTACTTGTAATTCACAGAAAAGTACTGTGTTCAGTTTGCTTAAAAATATAATTACCTGACAGATGAGAAGAATTGGTTTCTGAAATTCAGCTTGACATATTGAACAAATATCATCCACATCTGAACACTGTCTCTTGCTGGCAGCTATACCATAACTCTGTGAAGGTAAATTATTTGCAATTACAAATTTCTTTTCCTGTTTGTTGAACACATAGGTGATACTGTACTTCTCAAATCTCCCAGGAATCAGGCATTTCAAAACTTTCCCATAGGATACATTTTATAGCTACATCTTTACTACATGAGTGTGAAATCATTAAATAGTAAATAACAGGATCATGGAAGATTGTTAAATCCACTGGATTCCCAAACGGTAATAGTTTTCAAATTCAACACAAATGGCTATAAGTACCTAAACAATTCGAAATATAACTAAATATTTATAAAAATATTTACAAATACTTCCTGGGTATAGTGTTGCCCAGGATTGCCAAATTAAGCAGTCAGTCTAGCACTTTGCTAGTTAAATGTAATTCATGTGGAGAGCTTACTTTAAAAGTATATGTATCTGGGGGCTGGGGTTGTGGCTCAGTGGAAGGCTCACCTAACACGTTGAGGTGCTAGGTTCAATCCTCAGAACCACATAGAAATAAAAAAATAAAGTTATTTTTTAAAAAAAGTATATGTATCTGGGCCAGGCGTGGTGGCACATGCTATAATCCCAACAGCTCAGGAGGCTGAGACAGGATGATCGGGACTTCAAAGCCAGCCTCAACAACAGTGAGGCACTAATTAAGCAACTTAGCAAGACCCTGTCTCTAGCGGGGCCAGGGTTATGACTCAGTGATAGGGCACTTGCCTAGCATGCATGAGGCACTGGTTTCAATCCTTAGCACCACATAAAAATAAATTTAAAAAAGACCCTGTGTCTAAATATAAAAGAGGGCTGGGGATGTGGTTCAGTGGTTAACTTCCCCTGGATTCAATCCCTGGTACAAAAAAAAAATTGTGTGTGTGATATGTATCTGGGGTTAGAGATGTAGTTCAGTGATAGAGCACTGGCCTAGCATGCACAAGGTCCTTAGTTTTAAACTAATTTTTAGTACCACACACATACAGAGAATATTTGGCTGGGGGTGTTGTATGAGGCCCAGCATGTAGGGGGGAAAAAGAAAAAAAAAAAAATCTCTGGTTCTACACTGGAGTTTCAGTAGGCCCAGACACTGGAATATGACTCAGGAATCTTTTTTTGAAAGGTCTTCAAGGTAAGTTCAACATGAAGGAGGTTTCAGTTTCTCACCACTAAACTAAAAATAATTTTTAATTACCTCTTATTATCATAAAGTCAGAGAATTTAGTACTTTGAAAGAATGATAAACCAAATTTTCAGAGAAAATAACTGTAAAATGTCACTGGGATGGGATAACTGTCAAAACTAACTGAATGAACAATAGTGCAATTCTCTGAATATCCCTTTATTCTAATGTCCTAAAAAAAATTAGGAGATTCTGATCTGATCTCTTTAATATCTTAACTTCCTCACCAAATTCAGCAGGACTTAGTCATGAACTAGATGTGACAATTAAGACTCTTTAGCAAAATTTGAAAGAATCAAAATGTTACAAATGAGATGAGCTTTCTGTAGAAATGATGGTGGCAAGGGTGGCTAAGAACACCTAAGTGTAGTAGTCATGGGAAGTTAGGTAAAGAGTGACTTACTTAAACACATTTGATTATGATCTAAACTTCCTGTACTTAAATGTTTAGGGCTAACAAAACTCAAAGGTCAAAAAAAATTAATTTATCCTTCAGTTTTAGGTGGAGTCCACCTATATGGCGCTGAGGATCAAACCCAGTGCCCCTTGTATGCAAGGCCAGCACTCTTCCATACCACTGAGCCACAATCCCAGCCCTGACAAAAATGTTAAAAATTAAGGTGTGGTTTTTTTTGTGTGTTTTTTTTTTGAGACTGGTGATACTAAGGATTTCAGAAGTCAGTCAGGACAGTGTTAAATGATCTTGGTGCCAATTTCCCTTCAGTAAAGGAGTCCATTACAAATATTTATGTTGACAAGCTTTTAAAACATCACTTTTGTCTGGCATTTTGGAGACTTCCTTTAGATGAAGACATCCTGATGGCAACTGTCATTTCCATGATAAAGTTAAAGAACATGTATGTACATGTTCAGGATATCAGGGAGACAGGGGTAAAAGTGTCAATGACTGATTCTCTGTGCTTTCTTTGTCTCACAGAGAAGAATCTCAAGTGTTGATTGGGTTTTGTGATGCTGGATCTGGATCACAGGGCCTCACACATGGTAGGCAAACCTTTTACCACTAAGCTACACCCCTAACCCACAGGAGATTTTCTTAAGGGTATTTCAGCACAAACCTGACTAGATCAATTATGGGAAAATGGCTGATTCTCATATAATCAATTGTATTAACCTGGACAAAACCAGACTCTCTGGATATACTGTATCTTCTCCAAAAGAAAAGTGTGCATAAGATGTAGCAAAACTTGTTTCCATATTTCTCTTAGAGAAAAGGTACCCTGGCTAGTTAGTCTGAACAGTTTTTTAGACAATCCTTTTTTGTTTGGATACTATGGATTGAACTCAGGGGCACTATACCACTAAGCCCCATTCCCCAGCCCTTTTTATTTTTTATTTTGAGACAAGGTCTCATTAAGTTGCTGAGGCTGGCTTCAAATTTGCCATCTTCCTGTCTTAGCATCCTGAGTTGCTGGGATTACATGCAAGCACCATTATGTATGGCTCCTTTTTACTTTTAACAGTACATTAATAGATTGGCATTTTTGTAAGTCAGTCCCGTTAACTGTTTAAGGACCTAATGGACTAAAAAGCTGAAGATCAGCCTTGAAATTTGGTGACCACACCTAGGTATTGGGAATCTTTGAGGCTACTAAATATGAATTACCCTTCTGTATGATACCCTTTCTCTGTATTCTGTAACATCCACAGAATCACATAATAACAAGTTTATAATTGATAGTGAAGTCTCAATCATTAAATTCCATGCTGAAAATTATTTGTATATTTAGAACTGTGTAATGGGGACATTTCCCCCAGTGATAAAATTGCAAGGGACATGATTTTTGGTAATGAGCTGAACATAGAACTAAAACTTCTAATGCCAGAGTACTAGCAAATAATCTAAAAAGACCATTTTATAATGAAAGGTAGAAGTGTTTTTCCTTAAAAAACAAGAAAGTACTTACTGGTCGTGTAAAAAATATTCGCAAAACCTGTCTGAAAGTTTTCAGATGTCCAAAGAAGTCCAAAAGCTGAAAGAGGAAATAAGAGATAATTTATTAATTCAAGAGTCCTATCTGCTAAACCCAAAGACAAAAGCTGAAATCTTACAATATTCAATTCCCATATTACCCTAATGCTCACTGCATTCAGAGATAATCATTTCATTCTAAATATATTTCAAGCCTAATTAATGAATATTTATGGGGTTGAGCCAACAAGAAGTACATATAAAAATCTAGAGTTATAGTTTGTTCAAGATAAATAAAAACCTGTCAAAGACAAAGCAACTACATCTGATTCATATATTAACATTTTTATTTTTAAAGTCTCAAAGTGATTATTAATTTGAAATGATCAGGCAGAAAGGGAGCAGAACAAGACACTCTACTAGTTTTAAGAGTTATGTGTACAACAAACTTTGCTGTTGAGGATGGGTATGTTTTTTTCCACTTGTTTATCCCCTTAGATAACCCATGTTATGTGGAACTCCACTTTCTCTCTCTCTTTCTGAGACAGGGTCTTATATGTTACCCAAGTTGGCTTCAAACTCAGAATCCTGTCTCAGCCTCCCAAGTAGCTGAGATTATAGTTACATGCCACCACAAACTGATAAAGAACCTGCGGTTACTGCAAACTACTGATATGAAGATAAGCCTTAAGACAGTTAAGGAGAAAAGTAGTAGTATGTAAAATCAATAATTACATGAATCATTATACAATGGCAAGATTTATAATGTTACTTACTTTTAATATGAGGTAGAGTAAAGCCAGCAATATCCCAAGACTCCATCTAGTACCATTACCAAACTCCTCATAACTTATAAGGTAACGAAACCAAACTGGTATGGGAACAAAAGTTCGGTAATACTGACACAATTCTTCTAAAAGCATATACCAGTAACCCTAAAAAGAAAGGAAAAAGAAAATAAATAGAACTACCCAAGCCACTTAAACACATAGCAAAAATCCTTAATATTGGACTGAAAACATCATGAGTACATGATGCAATAATATAAGTAACTGTGAAATTAGTCTTCATTATGATTATGACTGACAATTTCAACCTGATTTTTCCATGTTACAGTCACTGCATAGTGTGCTTTTAAAGTATTCCTCAGAATGAAATAGTAAAATGTTTTATATGTACTGTGTTTTTGCCGATTATAAAAATTTGTTTTTATTGAATATGGGAAGCCACTAAATAACTGCATATAGTCAATTATTAATTGATAGTACCCTGTTGGAGAACAGAAGTACAAATTAATAGTTTCTCCTATTTGATGTGGAGACTGATTTTTCAGTTCTGAAGCAAATGTTTGTTGTTCTTTTTAGTTATACATGACAGTACAGTTTAATTTGACTTATTTATACAAACATGGAGTACATTTTATTCTAACTAGGACCCCAGTCTCATGGTTGTACATGATGTAGAGATTCACTGGTGTATTCATGTATGTACATAGGAAAGTTATGTCAGAGTCATTCTACTCTTTTCCTATTCCTGTCCCCCCTCCATTCCCTTAATTCCCCCTTGACTAATCTACTGAAATTGTATTCTTCCCCTCCTTGAAACAAATGTAATTCTCATTTTATCCAAATAGGTTAATATTTTGGTTCAAGTCCTTGAACAAATGTTGCCAAGCGATAATGAAGATAATTAAAACTAGATTATTTAGCAAATGAAAAAAATCACAAAATCTTTAAGCAAAGATTAAACAGTATTAATGTGTTTGCCAACATCATTCCAATAATGCATCAGTTAGTTTCTTACCTTTGACTTAAAAGGCATGATGAAAGGAGGCACCAATAAAACAAGGCATTTTAAGCCCATGAAGAGGAATTTTAGAATGAAGTCCGTAATTCCAACAATCCAAAGTACTTCCCAGAAGCTCAAGTGATCCAGTGTAGGATTTAAGAAAATTAAACTACCAAGAGAAAATCATCAAAATTTACCAGAGCAACGTACAAAGGTAAAATATTGAAAAGGGTGTTAAATTTGCTACAAATATTTTAATTTGATATGTAGAAATGAGTTTGGCAAGATAACATCAGAGTTCATATAAATGGAATGAAGGATATTTTTTTATTATTATTTTAAAGGGACTTTTCCTTTTATATGATATAGAAAAAGGTCTTCCTGGCTTATTATGTTGACACTTTTGTAGGCTATAAACTCTAAAACCTGTATACTAGACTTCTGCCATTATCTTCCTAACGATTTCCAATCAGGATTCCATCCCCTCTTTTCCACTGAATTACTTTTGTCCTTTATATCACTAGACCTAACGGTCACTTCTCTTTCCATTTACTCATCCTAAATTATTTTCTTTGTAGACCTTTTTTCCTCTGTGGTGTTGGGGATTGAACCCAGGACCTCATTCATGATAGGCACTGAGCTGCACCTGTAGCTTGTTCTTTCTAAACTTCTTTTTTCTCTCCTGGTTGTTCTCATATGTCTCCTTTGTGGCTGCTACTCTGATGATGGGTCTTGTCCAGGACTGGGCCCTCTTTGTATTTTCTTTGTATTACCACATAGTTATTTGTATTACCCAGATTAGTTCTGTTCAGTCCTGTGGTTTTAAAATATCAGTCATATTTAAATGCTGATTACTTTGCTAACATACCAAAATTTATAGCTCTAACCTCTACCCTGAGCTCATGATATATCTAGAACTGCTTTCTTAACAATTCTACTTGACTTCTCATGCTTAACATGTTAAAAACAAAATTACTGATTTTCTTCTCAAATCTAGTTCCTTCCCCAGCCCAATAAAATGACACCATCATCAAAGTCTTTCTTGCATTCCCTACCTATTCACCCACACAGCCCTATCCATATCAATGTACTGGCTCTACTTCTAAATTATATCCCACATTTGTCCATAATTATTTTCTGACTAAAGCTAAAAATTCAGAAAAACTTGTTACCTATTGTCTTTTAATGAATCTTTGCCTTATTTCTAGAAACTGAAAAAGACAACAATACCCACCTACTGGTATTTAATAAGTACTGATTAAACAAAAATGCAGTTATCAAAAAAATTAAATATTTATTGAGCACCTGCTATGTGCCAAGGAACTAAGGATACAAGTCTGAATAAGTCACTCAAAGCTCTCTAAAGAAGACAGGTAAAAATTGAACTACAATAAGTATTATGTGTAAGTAAGATATATGCAGAGTGCTGCGGAACATATGATTACATTTTAAAAAGTATACTAGAACTAGTAATTACCTGTAATAAAGTGACTGAGAATGAAAGGTATAATACAGAAGAACAGATGATCCTGCTAAGAATATCAATAACCAAGCACATTGAATCTTTGAAGATCTTTCCTGAAAAATAAACAATTTTATAATTTGTTACTTTGAATTATGCCAGAATTTCAAATATTATTAAACTTTAAATTTAATGGCTTATTAACATTAACTTTCTAGATTAACCTTAAAATATAAAGTATCTATTAAATTGTATACCACATTGTTTTATTTATCTTTAGTGAACAAAATTTGAAACAAGTTATAAAAATACAATTTCTTCACTGTATGAAAAATAAGATGTTTCAAAGAAACCAAATCATCTAAAAGTTGACATAAAGGACCTACCCAAAACAATCTTTAGCTGTTCAGTTCCCTTTTTTGTGCATCTTCCACAAGACAAATTTCAAAAATGCATTTAAGTAAATCAGGATTCACAGATATTCAATAATTTATTTTTAATCTAAGGTTAAGTTTTAATTACAAGTTTAATTAAATGTTTTATAGGTTAAGCATCCTAATCTGAAAGTTAGCAATTGAAATGCTCTAAAATCCAAAACTTTTTGTGTACCAACGTGAAGCCCCAAGTGGACAATTCTTAAACCTGATCTCCTATTAAAATTAAAACACAGATACACTAAAATTACTGTATAAAATTACAATTGGGCTATGAGTTATATAAAATAGAAATGAATTCTCTTTAGACTTGAGTTCCCATTCCAAAGATATCTCATTATGTATGTACAAATATTCCCAAATCCCCCCAAATCTGAAACAGTTTTGGTTTCAAGCATTTTGGAATAAAGAATACTCAATCTGTACTAGTTTGAAACCATGAGTTAAAGTTTTTTTAGTTTACAGGTTCTACTATAAATTTCCAGGTCAGAATGTATGATATCTTCCTTTAATATGGCCTTATGGTGAAATTTCATGAACTTTTTCCTATTTTTCCCATGATTTTTATGACTAGGACTTTTACATTATAGAAAAACTTCTTGAATTAAATTTCCTTTAAATAAGAGAGCTAAACAGTTCAATACCTATTTATTCAATGCTCCATAATTTATTTAGTTATTTTAAATCTTATTATAGTCAGTCCATCAGTTGAAATTTTAATGAAATTATGTTTAAATTAGCTCACAAAATAAAAAGGTACTTGCCAAACCAGATCAAATAGATCAAATAGTGTAGTCCTTTGTCTACTCCCCTACATCCTCAGCACTTTTTTATTTTGAGATAGGGTCTTGCTAAATTGCTGAGGCTGGCCTCAGACTTGTGAACCTCTTGCCTCAGCCCCCGCAAGTTGCTGGGATTTCAGGCATGCATGGTTGTGCCTGGCTTTTTCTTTATTAGAAACCAAATATATAAAGAGAATAAGGTGAAGCAATCAGTATTAGGACAGATAATTTAGATAACAAAATAAAATATGTCATGGATCAACATATTTGATTTCCTACTTCTCTCAAAAGCTATTCCTATTTCTCACAAAATTATTTCTCTATAATTCTATAGAGAGAAAACAGTTAATAATTTTTTAGTTGCTTGTTATACTTACTCTTAGAAAAACCTGATTTACAATGCTTTTGTTTGCATACATAAAAGTTGTTAGCAGCCCAATTCCAAGAGAAATGCCTGTTAGAAAATAAGTTCCAGTTAATTGAAAGAAAAAAAAAACAAAGAGGACAATATAAGCTAATAATATGAATTAAAAGAAAACACACAATTTTAAAAGCCAACAGAAAAATAAGTAACTGAAATAATATGTAAAAATAGAATTCCAATAAAGAAAAATAACTGAATTTACCAATTAAGCAAATCATTGTTTTATTATCCCCTACCTGTTATATGCTGCATAACAAGTTTGACACCCAGAATCAAAATATATGGAAGACTTTTCTGCAACCACTTGAAAAGATAGCGGAATTCTGAGAAGGTGCTACTTCCATGTTCTCCAGACTCCGTGGCAGTATCCTCAGGCTGCCTTGCTTCACTGTGGGAGTGACTCCGGAAACGACTATGTGCACATCCATGGGTACAGCTATGGACAGCTGACCTTATATTTCTGGAGCTTGGATTTTCAACATATTCTTTAGATATGGGGTTAATCTGGATATGAACATCTCCAGAATCAAGAAAAGAACCTTCTCCTGTCAATCTTGTATGTGTACACTGGGAGGCTGAGGCATCCTCACCACTTGCAGTTCCTGGAGGACTGTGCAGTTGGTTACAGTTGGCTTGCATGGCCCTTAAAATACTTTTTCTCTAATCCAGATTTCTTTGCTTGGAGGTTTTGTCTCCTAAAAATAAATAAACAAATTATCCAAGAGCAGAAAATATTCCAAGGGAATAGTTAAATACAAGTAAGTACACTGCTCATCAGTTGTTCTTTATTCACTTTATAAAAGGAGTTGCTGATAGTCACAGCATATGAATTTTCAGATTATCGCACTTATTTCTAAACTCCTCCCTTAATGCCAAGAATCTGCTTAAAAATTATCATTTCAGGAAACATTTACTAACAAAAAAAAGACGAGTTTCAGATGACTCCACTTCTCTAATGCCAGAACACACTGGCAAAATAGTCATGGTGTATGGGGGGCCCAGAAGATGTTAATATAATACTAGTGTTCATATTTAATAGTTTGGCACATTCACTTAGCACCCAACTGGAGCAGTTTCATCTGAGTAGATTCTACATCAAAGAAGTTTCAGAATGAAGAGTGATTCAGTATTTTTTTCTAATATTTTAAAATTCTTATTTGTAGATGGACACGATAGTTTATTTATGTGGTGCTGAGGACCAAACCCAGCGCTCCATGCATGTGAGGCAAGTGCTCTACCACTGAGCCACAACCCCAGCTCTGATTCAGTATTTTTTAATACTTGGAAATGCTAGGAAGAAAGAAAAAACTCTATTAAACTTCAATGCTTTAAATATCATTATAGATAATAAACATTTCACTTAGATGAACTATAAATTTTATCTTATGCTCAAAGAGCTTCCCCAAAGCGAATATATTAATGGTGCTACCAAGAATACGACTTTCCCTCCTAAAAGAATGTTTCCTAAATATCTTCAAATTAGGGATAAGTTGGGTGATAATGCTAGGTGATACTTCAGTCTGAATGAAGATAGTCACAGTGTATGGAATAAAAATGCCACCATCGGTGGTGTGTGTGTTGCGGGAGGTGGGGTGAGGGTATCAGAAATGAGGACGTTGGCAGGGAGGTTCCTAAATGACCCAGCGTGGATCTCCTAGCAGCTCGATGCCGAAATCGCAATGCCAGCTGACAAAACGCAAAGCCTATCTCAGACTGTCTGCTTTTCCCGTTTCTCTAGAAGGAAGCTAGAGTTAACGACAGGGCATGTTCTGTGTCATTCTGTCTTATGCCTTGGCTTGAACGCTGTGCAGTTACCCTGTGGCGGTTTGGGTTTTGATGCTTTTCGCGGAAGGCTTCGCACCCAGGCTCCGATGCCACGGTGCGCTTTATTTCCTCAAATCTCAAGAGCGACTTTGGACAGGATGGTTTATGTGTTTTCTATAAATAAAACAGGCCCCTCCCACTCTCCTCCACGCACAGATAAAAAAGAGGAGAGAAAAGGAATCAAAGTGAACATCAACAACTCTTCCGGAATCCCTGAGCACAGGTCTCCACCCACGTCCAAGCCTCCGGCGCCCCGGTTATTCTCCCTGGAACCCCTTGCCCCCGCCTCCCCCAGGCCTGACCTCTCATGACCAGGAGCGGACGGAGGCCTCGGCAGCGACGGCAGGAACAGCAGCGCACGCCGCCCCCAGCCCTAGAGTCAGAGCCATCACGCTCAAGCCCCACGACCAGCAACTCGGGCCCGGCTCGGCGGCGGCGCGCGCGCTCCCCGGACGTCCTCGGGCGCGCGGCCCGCCCCCGCCTGCGCTGCGCCGCGCCGAGGATAGGCGAGGGGCTGAAGCACGCCGCTGCCAGGGCCTGCGCCTGGGGACGGCCGGCGGACGCGTGCCCTTAACAGTTGGTTGCCTCACGTCTTGAGTCTATGCCGCCAGTCTAGCACGGCACACGGTTCCGAGGTGCTGGACGTTTTGAGGTTAAAAGCGCGCAGGCTCCAGAACCTGCCTCCGGAGGCGGGGCCTGACGCTGAGGGCTGTCCCAGCCTACCCCCGCGCCCTTCCCGAGGCGTCTCGCCTGCCGCAACCCCAGCGGGGCAGCCACGTTGGCGGGGCTCGGCGCGTCTCCGGAAGAGCGGCGCTGGGCGGGGCAGGAGCGCTGGGGTTTCCGGGTTCGGGTTTCGCGACCGACGCTCCTGACCCACTTGTGGCTGGCGGCGAAGTTTAACCAAACTGGGTTTTCTCTCAGGCCCAAGTTGCGGCGAGCGAACCAGGCCCCGCGGGATCTGAAGTGCTGGAGGGTTTGCGGGGGACCGAAGAGACTGAGAAAGCCGCCTTCCGCGGAGTGTGGAGAGCGTTTCTGCCCTCCTGTAATTCTCTTAATCCACTATTGTTCTAAGTGGAAAGGTTACTAAGGGCGCGGGGGCGGGCGGTTAACAGGAAGAAAAACGGAGATGTAGTTTAAGTGGTTCTGAATGTATTCCTCGCGTGTCCTCCACAGCCGCCAATATAGCCTTTCCGTTCCAAACTGCAGCTCTCTACATTTTGTTTATACCTGGTACTTCTATTTGCTATTTATTTATTTATTTTTACTTTTGGCCTGGGGATTGCACCCAGGGGCACTTAATCACTGAGCTACTTCCCTAGCCCTTTTAATTTATTTTGAGATAGAATCTCGCTAAATTGCGGAGGCTGGCCTCGAATTTGGGATCCTTCTGCCTTAGCCTCCTGAGCTGCTTGGATTAAAAGAGTGCACCACCACGCCAAGCATTACCTGGCATTTCTAGAGTTGCTGTCAAATAAATAAAAGCCTTCCATATTTCTTGAAATTAAATATTCCTTGTGAGGTGGACTGAAGAATGGGAGCCAGGTCAGTCTTTCCTCACTAAAGTAGATAAGTTTACATACCCATACATGCTATCATTAAATGTCTAATGAAAATGATGTTTTGTTTTATTGGTCACTACCTGCTTTAAAACCATTCACTTGCCAAAGTTGCTGCTGTGTGACTTTCAACCATGAAATTGTACCTTATTTTCTCCCAGTACAATTGAATTCTCTGTTTAACCTCAGTTATCTTCTTTGAGGCTGTGCTTAAATCATATGAGTTCTATTACCAGATCATTTGCCTTGAGTAGAAAAGCATGTTTAAAAAAATTCAAAACCAGTCCGCCTCTCACTGTCGATTAAGACATTAACCTCTGCAGCTGCTGCTTTCTTTCTAGTCCCCGCCCCTTTTGTGCTTAAGTCTCCAAGCTTCACTGAGCTTCTTGACAAATTAGATTTTTGGGTCAGTAAACCTGAGGGCCAGGCTCTGAACTGTAGTAAATTTTCTTGGAAAATTTATTTACGTATAGTCTACTATCCCAACTACATGGATATTTTTATTTTTATCATATTATTTATTGCAGTACTGGGGGTCCAATCCAGGGCCTGGTGCATACTAGGCAAGTACTGCACCACTGAGCTACATCCCCAACCCTGAATATTTTTATTTTAAACATGAAAATGTGTGAGGATTTAGTAAACAGGAAAAAAATAAATAAAGCAATCTCTCCCAGTCTAGCCTCCGCCATAATGGAGAACCAGTATACCGTCAGTACATTAGTAGTTTTGAAATATTTGGCACATTAGTAAATTTAGCATATCTAATGTTTGCATTCTCATTTTAACCTAACACACTGAAGGCATGTCAGTGAATATTGAAGGTTTATTAGCGCATTTGGTACTGCATTTCAATAACAACTAAAAGGTAGTATTTGAAGAAGAGCACCAAGTTGAGATATGACTTAGTGGCCCACAGATATTTGATAAATTTTCTTTCCACTGGCATTTGGAATGCTGGAATGGGCATTTGATTTTGATTAATTCAAAAAGCACTTGTGAGCTGGGGTTGTGGCTAAGTGGTAGAATGCTCGCCTAGGACCCATGAGGCACTGGGTTCGATCCTCAGCACCACATAAAAATAAAATAAAGATATTGTGTCCATCTAAAACTAAAAAATAAAACATTACCAAAAAAAAAAAAAAGCACTTGCTGCATACTTACTGCCAAGAATTGTACTAGGCATGGGAGAAACAGATAAAAAAAGATGTCCCTATCCCACAGTAAAACAAGTGGTTAGACATACAAACAAATAATTACATTGTATTAAAGTAAAGAGTATAATTGTTGAAGGTTGTGTGAAATGCATTGGAAGTAAAAGGTGGGATCCTATAACTTTGTCAAGCAAGAAACACTTCATTAAATTTATGGCATTGGAGAGAAAGACTGAGGAAAACTTTGAAATTTGCCAGGATGCAAGCAATGATGGGCTTTTTTTTTTTTTTTTTTTTTTTTGCTATTGGGGATTGAACCCAGAGAACCCTTTACTACTGAGCCACATCCCCAACTCTTTTATTTATTTTTTATTCTGAGACATGATCTTACTAAGTAGTTTAGGGCCTATGTTGCTGAGGCTGGTTTTGAACTTGCCATCCTTTTGCCTTGGCCTCCTGAGTCACTGATGTTACAGGTGTGTGCCTCTGAGTTGGGCATTTTTTTTAAATTATAGTTTCTTTTTTTAAAAATATCTTTTTTATTTGTTTATTTTTTATATGGTGCTGAGGAGAGAACCCAGGGCCTCATATGTGCTAGGCAAGCTGAGCCACAACCCCAGCCCCATGAGCTGGGCATTCTTGATAAGAAACAACATTAAGTGGAGAGTGATGGTATTGAAATACTGTGGCCCGATGGGCAAAGTAGTAAATGCCTGTAGTCCCAGATGCTCAGGAGACTGAGGCAGGAGGTTCAAAGCCAGTCTCAGCAATTTAGCAAGGCCCTAAGCAACTCAGACCCTCTCATATATAAAATACAAAAAAGGAATAGGGATGTGCTCAGTGGTGAAGTGCCCTTGGGTTCAGTTCCCAGTACCAAAAAGAAAAACAAAATACCATGGCCCTTTAAGGACTAAGTTTTCAACTTTGGAAAGTGGGGGCTAGAAAATAAAAGATTTCAAGAGCTTCATGGAGAAGTTTATTACCGAGCTTATTCTAGTGGCCAAAGGGAAGATATTGTGGAGTTTTATTTATTTTCGATCTATTTATTTTTCATACTGGGGATTGAGCTTAGGGGTCCTTAACCACCAAGCCACATTCTCAGTCCTTTTTAGTTTTTATTTTGAGACAGGGTCTTGCTAAATTGCTGAGGCTGTCTTTGAACTTGTGATCCTCCTGCCTCAGCCTCCCAAATCACTGGGTTATAGCCATCTGCAACATAACAATTACTGTGTCCTGCTGAGATACTGAGTTTTAAACACCAGTTATCTGTGACCAGATTTGTTTTCCAGAAAACTCACATGCTAACAGTGTAACAATGCAAGCTGAATTAGGAGACTTTTATAAGTAGTTCAGTTAGATAACGTCTTGAACTTGTCAGTCAAGTAGAATTCAAAAGGAAGTATGAGATTGGAGAAGTTTAAAGGAGAAAGAATCAATAGGATTAAGTGTGGTGGATTGTTGCAGTTATGCCCCTCACCTCCTCCCACTTCCCACACCAATTTTTCACACCAACCTGTATCCATACCCTTGGATTTAATTTTTTAATTTCCTTTTTAGTTGTCAATAGATCCTTATATTTTTTTATTTATTTATATGCAGTGCTGAGAATTGAACCTAGGGCCTCACACTTGCTAGGCAAGTGCTCTACCACTGAGCCACAACCCTTGAATAGTCTCTTTTTAGAATAATTTACATGACTTCCTTTTACCACAGTAATAGTAATTGTTATGTTAGTAGAGGCTTGAAAAATTCTTGCACATTGAGACTTAACACTTATTGCTGGCAACCATGCGAGCAACTCAAGGCTAGCCTCCTAGAAGATAAGGGATCATTTGTAGTGAGGCCCTGTCTCAGCTCTCTTGGTCTTCCCAGTTGAGGACCCCAAAACATGTATGAGGCCATCCTAGACAATCCAGCTCCAACTAAGATGGTTCAAACAAGAAGGGTCAGTGAGGCAACACAAAGACAAAACATACAATATATTTTGGCAGGGCATAGTGGCACACGCCTGTAATCCCCATGGCTCAGGAAGCTGAGAAAGGAGAATCCCAAGTTCAAAGCCAGCCTCAGCAAAAAAGTGAGGCACTAAGCAACTCAGTGAGACCCTGTCTCCAAATAAAATACAAAATAGGTCTGGAGTGGCTTTGTGGTTGAGTGCCCCTGAGTTCAATACCTGGTACTCACCTCCATTTTTTTTTTTTTTTAAGCCTCTAGACTTGGGGCAGCTTGTTTCATAACATATTAACTGATACTCTAAGTGACCAATTAGAGGGTGAGAAAGAAGGGAGTCTGTGATGAATGTTTTTATAGCTTAGGTGGATAGATAAATCAATATTGGAAATCTATAAAAATTAGAGTAAGTAAATTGGATATATTACCAAATTGAGGAGGGAATTGTTTTTTAAAGGCCAAATTTGGAGAGAGAATAATAAATCAGCTTCAGAAATCTGAGCCTTAGGAGTTCCTCAGACAAATAGGTAAAGATATCCAGTTGGAAGTTTGATGTAAGGATCTAGAGGTAGAAAATTCAGAGTAAAAACTGGTTTTTAAGTAACAGTAACCATTTCATGTTTATTTGTTTTCAGAGGTTTTTTTTGGAGATTGTCATCGACTTTGTTTTCTAGGAACAGTCTTCTCCTTTCTTTCTGATCTATATGCCTTTTACTTCTTGCTTTATTATATTAACTAGAACTGCCAGTACTCTGCTGA